CTTTAGCGCCCTCGAAATCGAGAAGTGTTCATTATATTACGCAAATATAAGGTTGTTTTTTACGATTTTATTGTCACATTCGTGTTTCTTCTAGTCTCTGGAACGAGTTTACGTTTATCGCGATGTTCTCGACAGAAGACAAAAACCCATGTCCATAAATAAAGATAATGCAAAAAATCAGGCAAAGGAAAAGTTAGAAGCAAAACAATTTGACTTATTTGTAAAGCTTATTTATTAAACAAAAGGTAAAGAGCAAAAACAGATGCTATATGTTTGATATTATTAAAAAAAATTAGCGATTTTTTTTTCTCCCTGGAGCAAATTACCAAAAAAAAAAAAAAAAAACTTATTTACAAAAAACCAATATTACATGGTTGGTTTGATTGTTAATACATTGTATGTCTCCCAGACGATGCAATACAGTCCGTACAACGCCTAGGCATCTGAGTATCAAATTATCGATCTGATCTTGGGGGATATTACATCACTCAAAAAGCAATGCACTCCGAAGTTCCGGTAGACATGTAGAAGGAGGTTGACGGGCTGCAACTCGTCGGCCAAGCATGTCCCACACGTGTTCTACTGGATTTCAAGTCTGGTGAGAATGCTGGCCAGTCTGTACGGGTGATATCCTCCGATTGAAGGCATTCGCTTACGATATTTGCACGGTGAGGACTGGCGTTGTCATCCATAAAACAAATTGTGTGCCCATGGCGCCCCGAAACAAATGTACATGTTGTTCCAGAATGACGTCCCGATAGATATGGCTTGTCATGAGTTCCAATTTGAACATGAAGGTCAGTTCTGGAACCCAGAATAATTCCACCCCAAACGAGCACTCCTACACCACCGTAACGGTGTCGTTCAATGATGCTTTCTTGGTGGTAACGGAATACCTGGAGCTCTCCATATGAAAGTCCGGCGAGAATCAGACTGCAAGCTAAACCTGGACTCGTCGGAAAACATCACACAAGCCCACTGTTGCGGTGTCCACAGTGCATGCTCTCTACTCCAGGCTAACCGCAGGCGACAGTGAGTTGCAGTAGTAAGTGGAACGCATCTGACAGGTCTACGAACATATAAACCAATCTGCCCTAAGCGTCTGTACACGGTCTGCCTTGAAATTGTCGTACCAGTGGCTGAAGAGAGCTGACGAGACATGTCTGAGGCTGTGCTCCGCCTGTTTCTTTTGGCAGTAACTGCCAATACCGGTCCTTATTCGGCGTTGTAACTCTGGGGCGACCTGTGCTGTAACGTCTACTCACAATTACACTATTAATAAAACTTTTCGGTTCCAATTGAAATTTAATTTGCTGAAGCGTTCATTTTAGTGCTCACATCATTTATGTTTCACAAGAATTACATAACTTAGATTAATTTTTAAATAACTCAGTTTGGGCAATTATTATTTTAGGACAGGAAAAAATAGCCATTTTAAAAATGGGAAGTTAAGGGACTAATTAAAGTTAAAATTTGGCTTAACAGGACATCTGAAGTATATAATATATAACGTTAAAAACATACTATTTTATTACATGTGCTAATAAATGTAATTAAAACCTCATGCCATCGAATTTAGAGCAAAGGGTTGTGGACAAATGCATATTGTTTGTAAATGGCTCTTTTACTTTTTCGTTCTGTTAAGCAACGTACGATCATAATTTTGAAGATCTTACATTTTTTTGTTTGGCAACAACTTTTGTTTTTCCTGGACCGGGTTTTGTGTATGTAGTAGTACTTCCTTTGGTTAAAAACAAGGAAAGGAGATTAATTTTTGTTGTCATATTTGTTTATTACTTAAAGTGTATTCAAAAGCCATTCAAGCATGCTTCTGAAATTTATTTTGCTTCCTGGGGTAAAGATAAGCAATTTTGGCTATAAAAGCATTATATATATTTACCATAGCAGAGCGAATTTTTTATTCGGAATTTTCACATGGAGAAGTTTTCTGATTTCTAAGTTTTAATCATGCACAGAATAAACTACGGTAGAGTGGGTAGCGTCGCTGACTTCTGTGCCGAAGGTACTGCTGAGCCGGACACGTTGTGATATGTGCAATAATTTCGGCGATTCTTGTATAGATAGATAGGAGATGGAAAATCTGCCAGCTTGAGACATTGGACATGTTTCGCCGCCGTGTTCACGTGACCTAAGATCTAGCACTGATATCTTTGTCACCTCTCGCCAGGAATACACCATTCCAGCCACAGCATTTCCAGACTTTCGCCGGATATCCGGTTCCTATAGAAACAAAATGTCTAAAATGTTTTTCTTTCATTACTAAGTTATCTTATTCCAATAAGCATCGTCATGCAACACTACAACGTCATGCTGTGCTTGGAACTCTTTTAGATTTACTCATAAAATGTTATGAATGTTACAAAAGTATCAAAGATCCAGTATAGCACTGTCGGAGACGGGAAGTAAGACCGAGACAAAGACCTTGACAGTGGGTATTCTCATAATTTGTTTAATTTTTATGTGTATAAATAAATAGGTTGTTATTATGTATTATACACGATGGCATAGTGCGTAACTTAATTTTGTAAATGTTTAGAATAAAATCGAAGTATGTACATACATAGAGTGTTATATGAGTGTTTATTAATATATTCGTTAACGTGCTAGAATGAAACTGTGTAGCTGTGTTATATATGGGTTTTCGCAAATTTCTTATCGCGTAAGGGCGAAACAGAGTTGTAGGAAGCCTTCTTATAAAAGGGGATATCTGTACTTTATTTTATGAAACTTATAATTTGAGTTACACATCCGGAATGAATAAAAGAATTTCAGCCTTTTCTGAACATCTTGTATATTTAAGCTCAGCAAAAACTGGTTAATCTTTACATTATGGTAACTTGGCGTTTTTTTGGCGAAAATTTGGCGACCAACTCTCCTACAGCAACCCTCTATTTTTTTTTCCCGCCGCCATTTTGTCTTCACGAAGTAAAGACATGTTTCTTTTCTTTTTATCTACTGAACACTTCTTCCAACAATCTACTAGCCGAATTACACTTATGCTAGAAATTTTATCTAACAAAACTGCTTAATCATTACAAATATTCACTCCAAAATTGGGAAAAAGTGCACAATACCATACTCCTTACGCGTTTTTCAAAATAACACATACACATAAACCATGTACACGCCGACTTATTTTTACTTAAACAAAAAAAAACATCCCAGAATTGCACAAAAAATGGCATTGCGCACACTCTTCACTATATCCATGTACACTGCTTTTTTCTCATAAATTAGAAAAATTTCACGAAAATACATGACAATTTTCTCAATCTTTAAACCCGGTAAAAAGAACATATATGAAATTACCTGATCGCGAAAAAGTATTTACCCTTTCCAAATATGAACATTTCCACATATAAAATAAATAAAATATCCAAAAACTTTTACCTCTAAATCATCTATTATATTATACACGTCACCAACGAATTCATACCGCAAGCATTACAAATACTTAGTATCAAATATTTAAATTATTTCCATGCATGTTTACTTCAACTTAAACGTGTACCAAATTCCTACAAACATAAAATTCACAAAATAACTATCATTTAATTAAAATATCACTAAACCATGTACACGCCGACTTATTTTTACTTAAAAAAACATCCCAGAATTGCACAAAAATGGCATTGCGCACACTCTTCACTATATCCATGTACACTGCTTTTTCTCATAAATTAGAAAATTTCACGAAAATACATGACAATTTTCTCAATCTTTAAACCCGGTAAAAAGAACATATATGAAATTACCTGATCGCGAAAAAGTATTTACCCTTTCCAAATATGAACATTTCCACATATAAAATAAATAAAATATCCAAAAACTTTTACCTTCTAAATCATCTATTATATTATACACGTCACCAACGAATTCATACCGCAAGCATTACAAATACTTAGTATCAAATATTTAAATTATTTCCATGCACGTTTACTTCAACTTAAACGTGTACCAAATTCCTACAAACATAAAATTCACAAAATAACTATCATTTAATTAAAATATCACTAAACCATGTGCACGCCGACTTATTTTTACTTAAAAAAACATCCCAGAATTGCACAAAAATGGCATTGCGCACACTCTTCACTATATCCATGTACACTGCTTTTTTCTCATAAATTAGAAAAATTTCACGAAAATACATGACAATTTTCTCAATCTTTAAACCCGGTAAAAAGAACATATATGAAATTACCTGATCGCGAAAAAGTATTTACCCTTTCCAAATATGAACATTTCCACATATAAAATAAATAAAATATCCAAAAACTTTTACCTCTAAATCATCTATTATATTATACACGTCACCAACGAATTTCATACCGCAACCATTACAAATACTTAGTGTCAGATATTTAAATTATTTCCATGCACGTTTACTTCAACTAAAACGTATACCAAATTCCTACAAACATAAAATTCACAAAATAACTATCATTTAATTAAAATATAATTAAATTCAAAAACACTACTTAAATATAAATGAGCACATACATTAAATTAATACATACATAAATACCCATTTCGAATTCACTTTAGTTACGGCCATGGGATCCAAAAATTCACACGAACACTGTTTCACACAACACAGAATAAAGCCAAATACAAAATTTCCAGATTTTTCCCGATTTCCCCCCTTTTCCGATTATAGAACCGTAATTCGTCCATTAATATCACATGACATATCCCATGATCTCTCATTTCCCTCACACAAAATAATGCGTAATCGGAACTGAGTACTGCTCACATTATTACCAAAGTCCCAGGTAGTAACCTTTATCGCCTCCAAAATGTCACCAAACTACCAGTTACCATATTGTAAAGATCAACCCAAAAACTCTTAGCAATGCTCAGCAATTATTGTGATAGTTACTACGACTAAAAGTGTGAAGAATTCCTGCTATGCAGCTTATTCTTTCACCAAAATGAAACGATAAGCTTTATTTGTCTTTCTCTTTCATTTTAAACAGAATCGAAGTTGGAAAGGTACTGCAATCTCAAACTAACAGGAACCAGTGGATACATCTCCTCTCCCGGTTATCCTCGATTCTACCCGAAAGTCTCCAATTGCAGTTGGTTTCTGGAGTCGTCCCTCCGGCAAGAAATGAAGCTGACCATCCTTGATCTGGACATAAGACCTGGTGTCCGAACCAAAGGAAACGAAATATGTCACGACTCTCTGACTGTATTGGAGAACAACCATAAGTTGCGGCAGGTCTGTGGCCACTCTTCCAACAACATCCCTATTACCACAACAGGCGGTCGCGTGGATATCTTATTCAAGAGCTACGAGTTCCTGCCATCAAGAGGATTCCTCTTACATTATAAATGTGAGTTTTCTTTTTAACCTTAAAATTCACGCATAATTGTGATTCAGAAGATATTATTTTTTGCCGATGCAATACCATTCCCGTTAGGGCAATTTGAAATTATTCAGTTTAATTTGTGTTTCATCCATGCACTACCATTCCCATTTTGGAAATTAACAATTATTCAGTTTAGTTTGGGTTTCAACTAGGATTTTCGCTAACATTACAGAGGATCTATCGTGTACAAGAGGATACTGAAACTTGAAGTCACTATTCTTTTAAGAACTATGATACAACAATTATAAATACAGTCAAAAGTCGTTAATCCGGACTCGTCGAGACTTCGACGATTCCGGATTATCGATTTTTCCGGATTATAGATCATCAGTTTAAATCTCGTAAGGTGGCATGCAGAAATTCTAAAATTAAAAAATATGAAACCGTAATTTATGAAATAAAGAACAATTATGATCTAAAGGGTATCAAAATTTGCAAAAAGAAAAAGCTTAATATTTTATTTGTTTACTTAAATAAACATTTCTTTCAATGTAAGTTGTTTAAGTTTTGCTTCGTTTCATGTGATAATACTTTCTCTTTAATTCTATTAAACAGACATAATTTCTTGTTCAGTTACAAAGTTCCGCTGTTCAAGTCCTATAATTGCTGTGTCAAGAACACCGACTAATTTGTCAATCGAAATTTTTTCGTTTTCAATAACCTCTGTTACTTTTCTTCGCTATCGGAAGCGAATTATAATGATGAGGAACTTGTTTTAAATCATATCAAAGACGAAGCATATCGAGATGAAATACTACATTTGGTAAGGAAATATAAGCCAAATAAAATAAAAACATCTGATCTTCAATTATAAGCCAAATAAAATAAAAACATCTGCGCTGAAGATAAAGATAGTGCTGACAGATCAACTTCCAATTCATTACGCGCCCGCCGCGGCGTTCCCCCGCCGCGCAGCAGCGTGAAATTGATAAACAGATTTCGGATTTCAAAAACATACTTTCGCTTTAGATCCTTTACATATTAACAAATATATATCGGAAATTCTATTTGATATAATCGAAAGTTTAAGCTTACTTTTATAAAATTGCTCTTACAGTCTGCAAAAAATAATAAGCCGGATCCAATTCAAAAATTAAGGAACAACGCAATCATCAACATTAACTGAAATAGATAATTAGATAATTTTAGCTTATACGTCCATTATACATAAAACGCGCACGCGAAAACGTATTCTGCACTTGCGCACACTCATATGCGCAGTCATAAAATGGTCTTACGCGCACGCGTAAACGCCTATGCGCATGTGTAAACGCGGCGCATGCGCAGAAAGTTTTAGTTTTGAGGTCCGGATTATAGATCATTCCGAATTATGGGTGTCCGAATTAACGACTTTTGACTGTATACTGTTTTGTTCTCATGTTTAAAATTTTTAATTCCCGTAGAATAACTGAATTAACATATGATTAGTGTTTAAGAAGTATTTCATTCCCTTACAAATCAAAAAGCAGTATTTTATCTGCACTTTTAAGGAATTTTCTTCTTTACCGCGTGCTTTCGTGATGTAATTGGAAGCAAGTCCCGTTAGCAGGTCTGGCGTTCGAATCCCAGCATTGCTGATTTTTCACATTTTCTGCTCCAAAATAAACCTGATGACTTTACAAGTGGTGCCGGAATTAAAAAATGTGGTGGATGATAATCACCACTTGGATTTGGTGACTGGGTCCCTTCTTCCCTAATCGCCTTATAAATGAATACAGTCAAAAGTCGTTAATTCGGACACCCATAATCCGGAATGATCTATAATCCGGACCTCAAAGCTACAAACTTTCTGCGCATGCGTCACTTTGACGCATGCGCGTAAGACCTTTACCGCTGCGAATTTGCGTGTGCGCGTGCGCAAAATACGTTTACGAATGCGCGTTTAATGTATAACGGACGGGATAAGCTAAAATTATCTAATTATCTATTTCAGTTAATGTTGCAGATTGCGTTGTTCCTTAATCTTCGAATTGGATCTGGATTATTATTTTTTGCAGACTGTTAGTGCAATTTTATAAAAGTAAGCTTGAACTTTCGATTATGTCAAATAGAATTTCCGATATATATTTACTAATATGTAGAGGATATACAAAGCGAAAGTAACTTTCGGAGTCCATTAAACAAAAAGTGGAATTGCTGCAAAAAATGGATAAAGGCATATGCTTTGTTTATCTAAACTTTAACGTTTGTTTATCTTTAACGCCGCGAATTGGAAGTTGATCTGTCAGCACTATCCTTATCTTAAGGGCAGATGTTTTTATTTTATTTGGCTTATAATTGCTTACTCAATGTAGTATTTCATCTCGATGTACTCCGTCTTTGATATGATTTAAATCAAATGCATCTTCATTATAATTCGCTTCCGATAGCGAAGAGAGTAAACAGAGGTTATTGAAAACGAAAAAATTTCGATTGACAAATTAGTCGGTATTCTCGACACAGCAATTATAGAACTTGAACAGCGGAACTTTGTAACTGAACAAGAAATTATGTCTGTTTATAGAGAAAGAAAGAGAATGTATTATCCCATAAAAAAAACGAAGCAACTTAAACTTACATTGAAAGAAATGTTTAATAAAGTAAACAAATAAACATTAAGCTTTTTTTTTTGTAAATTTTGATACCCTTTAGATCATAATTGTTCTTTATTTCGTAAATTACGGTTTCATATTTTTAATTTTATAATTTCTGCATGCCATTTTACCAGATTTAAACTGATGATCTATAATCCAGAAAAATCTATAATCCGGAATCGCCTAAGTCCCGACGAGTCCGGATTAACGACTTTTGACTGTATAAGAAATTATCACCTTTCTCATTGCGTGCCTTTATGATATAACTGGAAGCACGTTTAGCTAGCAGTCGGAAGGTCTGGAGATCGAATCCCTACAAGGACAGTGCTAACTTCGCATGTTACCTGGCCTTATAATAATAATAATAAAAAAATATTGTAGACAATAATGCATCACCACCAGTATTTGGCAGTTGGATTCCATTCTCTCCAGTCGCCCCCTAAGTGTGAGAGAACGTAAAGAGTTTTGATTTTCCTTGTCATGTGCCTTCGCTGTGTAATTGGAAGCACGTCGGGCTAGCAGTCAGGAAGGGGGAGTTTGGGTTTTAAATCTAGGCCAGGGCGTCGTTGATTTTTCATGACTCCTGCTCCGAAATTAATACCTAAATAGACTCCCCATGTTAACGTGCATAAGAGAGTCTCCATTTTGCATATCTGACTCTACTACATGAAAACAAACAAGTGGTTCTACGTTTTCTGGCTTCCTTGAAAAGATGGATGGAAATTATCGCGAAATTGGCAGCAAGGAGATCTATAGCACCGATTTTGGTCATTTCGAGTATCTCACAACTTAAAAATATCCGAGAGCTGCGAGTTTAATAGCATATAAGTTGTTGCTTTTCCTTGCAAAGAACGATCTTGAAATCAAAATGGCGCAGAGAAATCAATCATTATATTATATGTAGTAAAATCATTAGTCTATTAGAAATGGCCCCACGCGAAAGGTTGATTTCAAAGCGCGTAAACAAGTCAAACAACAAGAATCAGCGTTATATTTGTAAATTCTGCAGTTCGATGTTTTAACTACAGAATACTCTTCTTCAGCTGCCGAAGCGCAAAATGCAGCACTTTGGCACTTTCGCAGCTGAGGAAGATGGTTCTGTAGCTAAATCATTGGAACTAGTCCTGCAGAATTTACAAATATAACGCTGATTCTTGTTGTTTGACTTCTCCAATAATCATTATTCGGTATGTTATTTTAACCTAACTTAAAGGAGATACATTAGTACATAATCTTCAACTTCTCTAATGTTTAAATCAAAATTTTTCATGAAGTCTACATAATTCTCACTTTATTTTGGTGAACGCGGTTTTCATTATCGTCAATTAACCATTTCTAAACCATTCTCACAATAATCTATGAATACGATACTGCGTCTATATGTTTCCGCAGAAAAAAAAAGCTTTCTTTTCTCACCTCCCTATTTTTTAATAATAATATAGATGTAGTGGAGCAAATGCCTTTCATCAGACTCCAATTTTAAATCTTTAGCAATTTTAAATCATTTTTTTAATTATTATTATTTTTTTTTTCCCCCTATCCAGTGGCTAGACACTTGCTTATTCAACATTTGTCGTGAATGGCCAAATCCATCTGCCATGTAACCGTCTCATCATGAATAAGTGGTCAATGGACATTACCTCTGTCTAGGGTAGAAATCAGAGGGCAACCGATATTGCACCCGCAAAGTGCGCGGCTGAGCGCAGCACACATACACTCAAGACTTAGGCGAGAATCAAATCCTTACCCCTTGGTTTTGGGCTAGCAGTAAGCATTCGCCAACAACCATATTCTACAGGGTGACATTTTTTTTTATAAAGTCCTGTATAAAGCAACAATAAATTGGCAGCAGTTTCTGCTCATTTAAAATCTGGCAAACTTCTGTAAGTATTTAATGCATTGTCTTCAGTACAATATTCCATTCTCCGTAGTTAAATATTTCTGTACAAATTTATTGTCGTTCGTATTTTATTTTTTATTAAGTATAACTGTAAGGACCAAGGAACCGTATAAAAAGTTAGATTTTCGTAAATTTACAGAATTGAGGTTTTTTTTTAATTTTAAATGCTAAAACATGGATATTTGAGTTATTTAAAACGTTTGTGTAATAGGAAGTATATATATCAACAACCAAAGGAAATGGAAAAATAAAAACTGCATGACATCGTGAATACTACACACTCGCATAGTATATGAACTGAATGATGATAATTTATCAAATCTGAAGCACAGATCAACTATTTTAAAAGGTAATCATAATAATGTAGCTAAATTCCATTTGGATGTTATTAAAAAATCAAAGCAATTACAAAAGTGGTTAATATATTATTTTTCAAAGAAATACTAATGATGATATACCATACCTTCATGCAATTTCACATAAAAATATGCTGGAGAGTTATAAAGCTGTTCAAAATGGAAACGAGAGAAAAACCTTAAATAAATGGAGCAGAATGTACAAAGTACTTCTTAGACTGGAAGGAAACGTTACTATATTCTCGGTGTTTAGCTGTGTCCACTGAAGGTTAGTAATCTGATCTGGAGAACAAGCTGGTTTATGTGATTTGGAGCCAATTTTTCTTCGAAAGCTTTTCGGACTAAAATTGGACAATTCGCTGCTGAACTGATTCAAAGAAACAATTAACTGTATTGAATGAATGAACAGTGATTCCTGAAACTGCAGTGATAGCTGTTATACAGTTCACGTTGAGCTTTTGATGAAAGAAGCCACAAATAGAGATGTGCTATTTATTCACGAATTGATTTACTTTTCTGAGCGCACAAACGCCTGATTCGCGAAAAAAGAGCATATGATATGCACAAGAGATTTTCAACTACAGTATTTTAGTAAAATCACGAAGCTGTTGGATGTGATGGTATAATCCAATGTGAGATAAAGTCCAAAATATTAACTTTGGATTGGGAAAAGTGTATCACAAGCAAAGAATTGCCATGAGAAACAATACAAATGTGTTTGAAGCTGACATGCAATGGATAGCATTGCTTCCATGAACTCTGTTTTGAGTTTTTATGTTCTTTTTAAAAATTGTTTGTAGGATTCGAGTAAATATGAATAAAAATGATCAGTCAATATTTGAGTTAAATGAACTATTTACATGTAAAAATTTGATGTGATATATCAAAACATTATTTTTAAACAATATAGAAATCAGTATCAACACCGTATTCCTTCCTAACCACTCATTTGCTTGTTTATATTTCAGTCAATGGATGTCAAAAATTACCTCCTCCTCGACTGGGTTACATGGTGTACAGTAACAACCGTTCTGCTCTCTACATGTGCTGTAAAGGGCATGTATTCAATGACACTCTATCAAATTCTTTGCTACTACAGTGTGTGGATGGGACATATTGGAACGGTACAATTATGCCGTGTTTACGTAAGTAACTCTATCCAAAGTATATAATTTTATGTTTTAAAGGAGAAGGAAGTACACAAACTTAATTATCTGTATTCGGATGACCCATCTTGCTTAATATCCATATTAATGTCTTCAAATTGTTTCGAATAACTATCTGTGACTGCCACTTGAAGAAAATAAGAAACTAGTCTTCTGGATAAAAATCATGATTTATGAAGTGGCATATCTAAAGGGGGCGAAAGTGCAAGTATTCAGCCATGTTATCCATTCGGTCATTGGTGAGGTGAAGAATCACGAAATGCTGAATTGTGATACGAAAAATGAATTGAGGAGGGAATTTTTTCCCCCCTTGGAAAGAGTATTCGAAGAAACTTCAGTAGCTACATTTTCTTGCAATATTTTTCGTACTTCATCGAAAATTTTGAATAGAAAATATGAAAAACAATTACATCACGACCTTAATTACATACCTAAGGAAGATATTTTTTCACTTTGAATTTTTGCAGTTTATTCTGAAATAGTCTCCAAAACGAAATTCTAAATATTGTAATTCTACTTCGAATTTCCTTCACAAACTGTTTCCAATAATTCTTGTTTCAAGAAGGGATTTTCTAGATAAAGATCAGTTAAGAAGCACCTACAACCTCAAAATGAGTATCTTATATTTAATAAAAACTGTACTATCTAGAGAAGAACAACTGGAGTAATGAAAGAAAACTTTTAGAATGTCATTGACGATTCCGTTAACTGAAAAACAAGCAAAACAGCATTTCAAAAATGTGGAAATACAGTCTTATTTCATAAGTTAATGCACAGAACTTTTATTTACTTCCCTGTATGTTATTTTAAATTTTATAAATTTAAATTGTTGGTATTTTGGAGAGAAGCAAAAAAATGGACCACAAAACTACACCACTGGCTTCATGATATTTCATACAATGAATATCATTCTAATGCTGGGTAAGAAAGTTAAAGCTTAACGCTGATTCACTTTTTAAAAAACTGGTTCGTAATACCATGAGGAGGAAAATTCTATCGATGAAGAGTTGACGGATTCGGCTCTTGCTGAAAACATTTTTGGTATTCAGATTTTCAAAATCTAGATTACAAATAACATTCCATATCTACATATAAAGCCCTTCCAAACATGTAATTACTTCCAGAGAGACACGAAGGATGAAAATCTCATAATTTTGAAGACGAAGGTATTCCGAATTCAAGTTAAAGAGAAAAGACCATCAGAAATGAAGAAGACTGGAGGTGAAAGAGAGGGATTAGCAACAAAGAAATATGCAGACAGGCTGCTAGATAATATAGTCAAAAAACGAATTTGAATTTAATGGCATCTTAGTTTAGCACAATATTCGTCATATTGACTAAAAGAACGTTAATATGGGGGCAGATACAAAACACATGTTGAATTGAAAAAAAAAAAACTAAAAAATCAATTTAATGTTTTAATTATCCTTAATTTAAACATTAATTACACTGTGTCTCGTTCCTCTAAACATATAAATTCATTTTTTTTAAGTGTACAGGACCTTTTTCTGATTACCCATGCTAAAGGATAATCAAAATTTGGTATAGAAAGCAGCACGCCCTTTACCCAGGTGTCCGCAGAAAATTTTTCATTTGGGCTGGGAAAAGAGAAGAGACAAACATGATCCAATAGACTTTTATTTTAGTATAATTTGGAGGCATCACAAGTAAATTATAAAAAGCAGTATTACATCAATGCAAAAATTATGTACTATTTCTGACCCCCAATACAAAAACACATATTCTATTCAATTCCGGGGGGGGGGGGGGGGGACAGCCAGTCTATTTTTTTTCCTCAATTTGCGGACGTCCATGTCTTTATCCAAAAGAAGACATTTCTATTATCAAAAATGCAAAAAAAGCAAGCCTAGTGTATTTTAATCTGCATTTCAGTGTGTTTTTAAATATAACTTGAGCAATACAAAAAATATCTTGCATAGAAAGCTTAATTTATAGCCTGAAACTTCTTATTAAAAGAAAACTGTTTCAATATTCAAATAACGATTTATTGATTTTCTTGTTTAACCCATGGAAGTCCATTTATATATAATGATAGTAAGCATTAAATTTAAACTTGGAAGTTGAACTGTAAAATAACTGTTGCACTTTAAATATCTGTGGTTGCAGGATTTTTCTCAGCTTTATGATTAAAGAATACCTTCGGTTAGAAATAAATTTCTAGAAGAGAAAATTAATTTTGAAGAAGTGTGTTCATAGGGGCAGCTATCGGCACAATAAACAGCCTTAGATTCGTTATTCTGATCACAATAATCACTTAATCGTGTTGACTGGTGGTTAATCGAATCAGGTAAAGCAACTCACGAGCTATCTACCAAAAGGCAGGGATGCCGTTGTGAAGGAATTTCGTAGGAAAACTGGCTCGTGCTCATGTTAAACCGGGTGACCCAAACACCCGTTGAAAATTCAATAATTTACGAAGGCAGAGAGGTAAAAAAAATTGACACACGTGCTTGAAATGGCATATTGTTTTTATTGAAAGAAAAAAAATGCAATGCAAAAAAGGGCCAGCATATGACGCTGGGCAGTAAAATGTCAGTGACGCCACATGAGAATCGTGTATGAAATGAACTGTAGAGAGAGAGAGGGAATCAGTCCCTTTATGACTTTATTTCTTCTCTATTCTTACCTCCAGTTGTTGGTCACGGTGTGATATAGATTTATCACGTCAGTCGTGATCGGACCCTTTTTCTCCGAGGAAATGTGTGGTTTTGCTATTCAAACCGTCAGTGTGACGGGTGCGAGGTGCTCTGATATGCTACAGAATCACATCATCCCTAGTCTGGCTGATAAACCTTTTGGAAGATGTGAGTTTTATGCAGGATGGCGCTCCACCCCATATTGCTATACGTGTGAAATATCTCTTGCTCACATGATATGGTGAGAATCGCATGCTGAGCCACCACTTCTTTCATGCATGGCCCCTCAGGTCCCCAGATCTCTATCTGTGTGATTATTGGTTGTGGGATTACTCGTAATCACAAGTCTACCTCGATAGTCCGACCTCATTAAGGATGCTGAAAGGCAACATCTGGTGGCAGTATCTCACCATATCTATAAATTGCTGGACAGTGCTATTCACAACATTGTCCCTCCACTACTACTGTTGATGAATGATTGCCGACATGTTGAAAATTTGTTTTAAAGAACACAGTCTTGGCTAAAAATAAACTGTTATTCTAATTATTGCTTTTGTTATGCAATGTTTTGCACTATATGTTTTGCTTTATATGAGGTGCCATCTGTTGGCCGTTTTAAGCATTTTTTTTTCATTCACTAAACCCCATGACATTTCAAGAATGTATCGAAAAATCAAATGCCCATGCAGCAAGCCTATTTATCAAAATTTCAGCCTGTTTCAAACTACCGGTGTTCAGTTCTCTCTTGCACTGGACCACTAGTGGACTTTGCAAAGCTGAAACTTCTAGCAACCGAGAAAATAAAAATTATTAGTTTTGGCTTTTATTCTATGATTAAATGCGTCTTTTTTATATTGTTTCATGATATTACCTGTTTCTAACTTCACTAAAAATCAGAAATTCATGCAGCCTTTCCAAAGGAGATAGCTCTTGTTTTCTTACAGTATTCTGACAGTATAATGAAAAGTCATCAGGGCCAAATTAATTGTGATTTAATGTCTGAACTTTCTTTGCTGTCGTACAACACAAAATGAATATGTTTAGATAAAATACTGTGTTGAAAGAAAAGATAATTGATTATTCAACATTGAGTATTTAAAAGGCTTGCATCTTTTATATTTTATTTTCATGTGATATTTTTAATAAGTTTGATTACATCAATTATCATGTACCATTTTTTATTTCAATGTTACTGTTATATATCTTATCTTCACATGGCTGCATTTTTGCTTTGAATAAGTTGCATTTTAAGTTTAGTCATACTAAATGATGTCTTCAATAATAAAGTTTGGTTTTATTTATCAAGTATCTACTCGCAATCTATGAAGTACTACAACTTTAGTTCTTTTTAGATATTTATAGTAACTTAAATATGCAAATGACATAAAAAAATTCTATCGCATTCAAGTGCATTTTATTTGACTAGAGTCCTATAATTGTTTGCAAAACTGAAAAAACATTTTTACTCTAAAATGATTAACTTTTTTTTTCAATTTTCTAGCTATACAGACAGCACTTCGACAGCGAAGTAACTATTCAGAAGACTACGAAGATATTTACAGGTTAAGTAATCCGGATGTTGTTGAAGTATATCTCAGCAAACATAAATATATTGAAGGTATGAATGCATTTTTTAATATTTGCAGTATCGAAAAAATATTTTTAAAACTCTACTACCATCATTTTCTAGCTGATTCTGTTATTTCTGAAAATAATTTCTGATTTAATTATGTAGTTTGAACAACAAGTATCTTTTAACATAAGTATTTCAAGAAGAATGTTTAAACTACTTTACTATTAATAATGAATTTTAATAATAGTAATTAATAACATAATTAGTAATAAATTTAATGCAATATTCAAAAAATTTCTTATTATTTAATAACAAAAAATTTATATTAATTAAAATTTTAATTCACTGAAATGCTGTTGTAAAATCGAAAATTAAGATAGAATTAGATAAGCAAATTATTTTATTTCTCTGGCAAATTCAGAAGAATCCGTTTCAATGTTCTTTTTTATTCTTTGTAGAGGTCCTTATTCCAGCCGCTTCTGTAGTAGGATTGGTGTTTGGAAATGTGGCAATAATTCTCCTTATACAGAAGATAAGAAAGTATGCATTATGAAAATATGATTAAATCTTCTTTATCTATTGAATATTGATAGTTAATGCAAATTCCCTTTCACTTTCACTGTTCCAAACAAAAAATTTATGTGTAAATCTCAAACAACTAATGTTAGACACATGCTTCCTATTTAAAAAATGAATCAAAAAAGGTAGATTTACAATTTTGGTCACATGACATCTTTTGATTAAAAAATCTGATGTCTAAACCACAATATTCTTGTACAGCCTATTAAATTATACATATTTTTTGCTGCATTTCATTTAAACTTCTTCCCTCGAATTTAACTGCAGATATATTTTTCATTCAATTAATTCAGTTCTCACTTTGTGGTAAGGTAAAAATATATAAAACCTCAAAATATCTTCATTAAAAATTGAAAAATATGGAAAAACATAAAACACCAAATACAATTAAAAAAAACAATTTTTACCATTAAAATTAAGAGTTTTGACGCAAAAACAAGCGATTCAGGCAAGTAGGCAGATTTTTCAGTGCACAAAACTGAGTTTACTTTTGGTCCCACTCGGGAAAAGACACTGAATGTGCAGAAACTGAATTCACTATTTCTGCTAAGTTTCAAATGTAGACAAATATGGCTGCTCCTTTAGGCTTAACCACACTTTAAAAAAATTTTAATTGTTAATAATTCTACAACTACTGCATGCAGATTAACTAAAAGCATAAAAATCTTAACCGGAACATTATAACAAAATAATTCAATTATTTTTAAATTAAAAAATGCACAATTTACCAAAATATAAGAAAATAAAATAAAAACCGAGTTCACAGAGCCAAGTAACGGAGTGGGTATATATGTATATATATATATATATCTGTACTTTTGGTGCAGCCGATTATAGCCAAAAAGGGAGGTGCGCAAATACATGTTATAGCAGTCCTATACAAAATTTCAACTTTCTGAAGCAAATCGTTTTTGAGTTGTGCGAGATAGTATATATGTCACGAAAAAAATCTCTTTTACATTTTTTTTCTCATTTTACAACCCGTTTGAGGAAAAAGAGTCCTTTATTATGTCCTTAGATACAGATGTTACTCAAAAACATTGCTAAATTGCATTCGATAGCGGTCAAAATGGATATTTTCGTTGAAATATGACACACGAAATTTTTCGCGATTACAATACTTTGTGCAACAACGTAAAAAATAAATAAAACTTGTATTTTGGTTGAAAATGCAAAAAAAATATAAATTTGAACACACAAAATCAATAATGAATTTTAGTACTGACGAAAAAGAAAATGCTAAAAAAATTATTGTCATAGCCAAATTGATTAAATTTTATAAATAATAAAAAAATCCATCGTACAATAGAAATTACTCAAAATATAATAGATTTAACTTTGTGGGAAATGCATATGAATAGATAGCAATGCATGTTAGATAATTTTGATGATAATTTGTATATTACAGAAGTACTTTAGGGGGGGAACCTATAGTAAAATGTACCTGATTATCAGATATAATCATCTTTGTAGACGGTAAAATCAGAAAATCTTGTATGTTTTTAGCAAAAGTGTCATATAATCAAAATTTCAAAGTCTGTAAATGACTTTTGATTCATTTTTTAATTGGAACTATAAGACCAACCATTCAAGAAATATTTAATCATGTAATCCTTTTTTTTAGTAACCCATTTAAAATAATAAAATTCACTTATATTCAATTCCAATTTTACCAACAAATTTTCATAACAGTCTATTACAGTCAAAAGTCGTTAATTCGGACACCCATAATTCGGAATGATCTATAATCCGGACCTCAAAACTAAAAACTTTCTGCGCATGCACCGCGTTGACACATGCGCAGAGGCGTTTACACGTGCGCGTAAGACCTTTTACGACTGCGCATATGAGTGTGCGCAAGTGCAGAATACGTTTTCGCGTGCACGTTTTAAGTATAATGGACGTATAAGCTAAAATTATCTAATTATCTATTTCAGTTAATGTTGATGATTGCGTTGTTTCTTAATTTTCGAATTGGATCCGGCTTATTATTTTTTGCAGACTGTAAGAGCAATTTTATAAAAGTAAGTTTAAACTTTCGATTATATGAAATAGAATTTCCGATATATATTTGTTAATATGTAAAGGATCTAAAGCGAAAGTATGTTTTGAAATCCGAAATCTGTTTATCAATTTCACGCTGCTCGGCGGGGGGAACGCCACGGCGGGCGCGTAATGAATTGGAAGTTGATCTGTCAGCACTATCCGTATCTTCAGGGCAGATGTTTTTATTTTATTTGGCTTATAATTCCTTACCAAATGTAGTATTTCATCTCGATATGCTCCGTCTTTGATATGATTTAAAACAAGTTCCTCGTCATTATAATTCGCTTCCGATAGCGAAGAAAAGTGACAGAGGTTATTGAAAACGAAAAAATTTCGATTGACGAATTAGTCGGTGTTCTCGACACAGCAATTATAGGACTTGAACAGCGGAACTTTGTAACTGAACAAGAAATTATGTCTGTTTAATAGAATTAAAGAGAAAGTATTATCACATGAAACGAAGCAAAACTTAAACAACTTACATTGAAAGAAATGTTTAATAAAGTAAACAAATAAATATTAAGCTTTTTTTTTTGCAAATTTTGATACCCTTTAGATCATATTTGTTCTTTATTTCATAAATTACGGTTTCATATTTTTAATTTTAGAATTTCTGCATGCCATCTTACGAGATTTAAACTCATGATCTATAATCCGGAAAAATCGATAATCCGGAATCGCCGAAGTCCCGACAAGTCCGGATTAACGACTTTTGACTGTATTTTAATATTACAGTTCAAAATAATTGCTCCAATATTATAAATGATGGCTTCAGTATAATGCTATAACAGACTGCATGTCTTCTAAGAGTTAATGAACTAATTGATGATACAAAAAATGTGCAGTTGACATTAATTTGAACTGAAATGATCAAACATCTTTCGAGAAAGTTAAAAGATATTCTCTTCCCTGCTTAAATAAGAAGCAGAACTAAACTTACTACGCAGAGCCAAAAAATGAAAGCTGCTGCAACACTTCATTTTTCAGTTTTGCGAGCTTGTTTAAAGAATATGAAAGACTACTTTTTCTCAGTATGTAGGAGTAAAATACAGTTTTTTTTAATACCTTAACTATTTTTTCCATGAGGATACATGCTTTACAATGCTACAGGTATTAATTAATGATAATTAAAGAAAAGCTGTTTACATAAATGTGGTTCTAGTTTTATTTTTGCTAAAATTTCTGTAGAAGCAATGATTTTATTCCTTTTAATCCTCTTTCAATGAATTCTCTATTATTCAGTTTATTTTTTATTAAACAAATACCAACTGTTTATAGTTTGTAATCAAATTCTAAGATAAGAATGCCTATATAATATGACATTCTAATCCTGCAATTTATAAAAACATGAGAAACAATTTATTCTTGATTAAATTGTTATATATTATGGGAAATGATTCTAAATAATTATTTTATATCTGTATGTGTGGGTAATCACTTACAGCATAAAAAATTTCACATATGTATCAAAATATTTACATGTGAAAATAGCTCTAGTTAAATCAAAGAAATGGAATTTGACAATTTGGTGAAATGTTATCAAAATGGCAACATTTCTAGACCTAAATTTTAAAATTTAATCAATTTCTTAATTAGAGCCGAGATTTGGAATTTTCTAGATTTCCTAGACTTCCTCATGCAAGAACTTTCAAATACTCTATAAATATCAATGAATATTTCTATGACTTTCCAATTACTACAAATAGTATAGTGTTTATTGAGACTTTACCAGCTAGCGACTAATTAAAAAAAATACTATATTTTTTTCCTGCCAGTGTTTTTGTTTGAGAGTTCCTGATGTTTTTCAATCGATACTAAGAATTTTATTATTATTATTTTGGTGGGTTTACCATCTTTAAGGCGAATTAAGCTATCTAAATTTAATTATGCTATTTAATAAAAATTGCATTTTGGTGCTATAAGTGATCAGCTGTCTGAAAGTTCCAAAACTGTAACATTTAAGACACAATAACACGCCGAATAAATACTAATTCAGAAGTCAAACAACAAAAATCAGCGTTAATTTACAAAATTTTCACAGGACTAGTTTCAATGGTTTTACTGAACCATCATCTTCAGCTGCAAAACCGCAAATGAACAAGATAGGAAATAATGTTTAGATAAGATAAGAAAGCCTGGACAAGAATAAGCAAGTGGCGCCATCTGTTGGCGAAACCAGAACTAAAACATAATTTCTCTAAAAGCCGAAGGCAAATTTGGATTGGAATTAGGATCGTTAACTAGAACAGAAAGATTTTTATGAATGTGAAATGCCTCTAGAAAATCCAGTTCTCCAATGGAAGATGTTTTTTGAATAATTTTGGCAGCAGAAAAATTGAAAGTGTGATTTTCGGACCAACAATGTTGAGCAAAAGAAGACTTCTGTGTTTCCTTTTTTCTAACATATGCCTCATGTTCTTTGACGCGAAATTTCAAGGCTCTCTTAGTTTGGCCAATGTAAATTAAAACCGCACTGGCAAGGAATCCTATAAATACCCCAGGAATTCATATCCGGAATGGGGTCCTTGAGTATAGAAGTTGGATTTTATTGATGGGAGAGTAAACAACCCGAAGTTAAATTTCTGCAAAATATGTGCAACTTTATAGCTAATTGATGGAAAGAAGGGAATGACAACAGAATTTTTATAATCTCCTAAAATAAGAGTGTGGCCTTTTAGTGTGTTGAGATGAGAATTTTTTAACTGCTTGATAATAATGTTGGGTGAAAAGCCCCTGTCAATAGCTATTGCTTTTAAATAATTTAGTTCTTCATCAAGGGCTAGTTTGGAGGAGCAAACTTGAAGAGCATGGAAAACATAGGAATAAAATGAAGCTAACTTTTGTTTAGTCGGATGACATGATTTAAAGTGTGGTGGAAGGAAAACCGATGAAGGTTTACGGTAAACTGTAGTACTGAAGTTGCATGTGTTACGTGTGACCAGAATGTCGAGAAACGGAAGAGAATTGCAAGTCTCAAGTTCAAAAGTGAACTGAATAGCAGGATCAATAGAATTCATTGTTGAAAGAACTCTATTTAAATCATCTTTATTACCTTCAAACAGGGTAAAAGTATCGTCTACGTAGCGGAACCATGCCGGGAAGTTTAAAGTTTGAAACAATTTTGATTCATAATAATGCATGTAGATATCAGCCAGGATGGGACTGAGGGAGCTTAGCGAGTTCCAGATGAACTCTATAAGCTTCATCTGGAACTCGCTAAAACATATCCAAAATTCACTGCCCTTGAACAAAAGTCTTGGTCTAGAACGGAGAATGCAGTTAACCGTCATAAAAACACCCTTGCAGTTAAATTCGAAAAACTTCTTTTACAGTCTTCCAGTTCAAGTAGTTCAAAAAATCTTCCCATTGTAAACATCAAGCCAATAGTTAATATTTCTAATGTTAGTCTTTCAGAAGAACAAGAGAGAATTCTAAAATATAATTTTAACTTCTCACAAACCTGTAAACCCTCGATTCCAAAGATTTTGGCTCCTATCGAAAAAAGCTTTCAAGTTCAGTAAAGTTTCAGATTCACAGAAAGAAATGATTAGGCATCTTATCGCTCATAATGTGAAATTCAATAATAAACCTTTGAAACCAAATCTAACTGCGAGAGAAAGAGCTACAATGCGCGAGATTCATTCTAACCCGGATATTGTCATTTCAAAAGGCCGACAAAGGTGGCCAGATAGTCGTCATGGATAAGAACACTTACATCGGATGGTGTCACTAAACTCTTAAACGAAGGACCATATAATCCGATCCCTAAAGATCCTTCACCTTCGGACCTTATCCAAAAATAAAAACTGCGATCAAATCTTCGCAAATTCATTTCAAGCAACTTAAAACATTCGCTTATCCCATCTGTTGCGAATTGTGCCAGATTATATGCTCTTCCCAAAATTCATTAAAAGTGGTATTCCTTTCCGCCCTATTGTATTCAAATTAAGGTACTGCCTCGTATCCATTAGCTAAATATTTAGTTTCTAGATTTCCACTCTATTAGATACAATAACATTTACACCATAAAAAATTCAATAGAGTTTGTAAAAAAAGGTTAAAAACATTTCTCCTCGTAATTTACTCATGGTTTCTTTTGATGTAAAATCATTATTACCAGTGTCCCAGTGGAGGGTGCATTAAGATGTCTAGAAACCAGACTTCGCGAATTTCATTTCTCTTGCATCGAAATTGATGAGCTAATTTCTCTCACTCAACTCTGTTTGAAACAAACACATTTGTTTTCCAAAATAAATATTACAAGCAAACTGAGGGATTAGCCATGGGAAGCCCCCTCAGTCCCATCCTGGCTGATATCTACATGCATTATTATGAATCAAAATTGTTTCAAACTTTAAAACTTCCCAGCATGGTTCCGCTACGGTAGACGATACTTTTACCCTGTTTGAAGGTAATAAAGATGATTTAAATAGAGTTCTTTCAACAATGAATTCTATTGATCCTGCTATTCAGTTCACTTTTGAACTTGAGGACTTGCAATTCTCTTCCGTTTCTCGACATTCTGGTCACACGTAACACATCCAACTTCAGTACTACAGTTTACCGTAAACCTTCATCGGTTTGCCTTCCACCACACTTTAAATCATGTCATCCGACTAAACAAAAGTTAGCTTCATTTTATTCCTATGTTTTCCGTGCTCTTCAAGTTTGCTCCTCCAAACTAGCCCTTGATGAAGAACTAAATTATTTAAAAGCAATAGCTATTGACAGGGGCTTTTCACCCAACATTATTAATCAAGCAGTTAAAAAATTCTCATCTCAACACACTAAAAGCCACACTCTTATTTTAGGAGATTATAAAAATTCTGTTGTCATTCCCTTCTTTCCATCAATTAGCTATAAGTTGCACATATTTTGCAGAAATTTAACTTTCGGGTTGTTTACTCTCCCATCAATAAATTCCAACTTCTATACTCAAGGACCCCATTCCGGATATGAATTCCTGGGGTATTTATAGGATTCCTTGCCAGTGCGGTTTAATTTACATTGGCCAAACTAAGAGAGCCTTGAAATTTCGCGTCAAAGAACATGAGGCATATGTTAGAAAAAAGGAAACACAGAAAGTGCTCTGTTGTCTCAACATTGTTTGGTCCGAAAATCACACTTTCAACTTTTCTGCTGCCAAAATTATTCAAAAAACATTTTTCCATTGGAGAACTGGATTTTCTAGAGGCATTTCACATTCCATAAAAATCTTTCTGTTCTAGTTAACGAATCCTAATTCCAATCCAAATTTGCCTTCAGCCTTTTAAGAGAAATTATGTTTTAGTTCTGGTTTCGCCAACAGATGGCGCCACTTGCTTATTCTTGTCCAGGCTTTCTTATCTTATCTAAACATTATTTCCTATCTTGTTCATTTGCGGTTTTGCAGCTGAAGATGATGGTTCGGTAAAACCATCGAAACTAGTCCTGTGAAAATTTTGTAAAATTAACGCTGATTTTTGTTGTTTGACTTCTGAACTGTAACATTTATTTACAGTTTATTATAACAATATTTTTTATTACTTAAGATAATTTATTATTAAATTCAATTAATATCTTTTTACCTTTTTTAGGAAAAGGAAGTCAAATGTAACAAATCATAATGGTCAAACAATACCACGACATTCAAGGTCTGCAAGTAGCTCAGAAGTACCACAAACTCTTCATGTGCCAGTCACTGTTCCCATCGATTCCACAATTCCACAGCCCATTCCAATACCCCATCCAGTCCCTGTCATCAGACAAGCACCCAGAGTTCTTATGACAGACTTATAGTAAACAGAACTATGGCATTAAAATAACATCCATTTACATTCACATCAACCTTCATCACCACACAAGATACTGGATATCTTCTTCCATTTCCACTAACATTTGCACATCAGTTCTTGTAAAATATTGCATCCGTTCACCATTTTTTTTTTTTTAATAATTCATCTTGAACTTGTATAAAGCTATATTAGCGATGTGAAAAAGAGGTATTTTTGAAACGTCGACACCAATTTCTCAGCAAAAAAAGTGCATTGACTTTTTTATTGGAGCTTAACAAGTGACTAAAAGTTTTTAATGCAATTTTTATTTTATCTTAATGGCGTATAACTTACTATTTAGACCATGATGAATAACTGAAATTTTGCCATGAAAAGGATTCTTCTTAATATTATATTATCAAATGAATTTTTATTCATCCATTGTTCTATCAACCAAATGAAATTTCAGATATTGTTATATAAGGTACATGCTTGAGAATGTGATGATTTAAAACAATATACCTCTGACAGTTATGATGATAGTAAAAACATTTTGAAATTTTCGAATGGCAACACCCACTTTTTTTTCTGCGCAAACTGATTAGCACATTGAAAAACCATAAAATGGCATTGGAAAGATACGTGTATGACGAAAACTGCCTGTGCAAAACATTTGCAAAGAAGAGTAAAGGGCAAATGACAATAGAAGAGATGAGAAGAGGGGAACTTGTATTGGAATTACAAGTTTTCAACATGTCCACCTTCGCAGGTGCATGCAGGGGATTAGTGAAAACAGTGATAGCAGAAGGAATCTGTATAACTTCATGTTTTATGGCATTTTTCAATTCTGACAAATCTTGTGGATTTGATGTGTACACCTTAGACAAACCCAGAACCAAAAAATCTGTTGCAGTGAGGTCAAGGGATTGCTGTGGCCACAAAACTGCAAAGCTGTGAGAGATGATCCTATCTCCCAAAGTCCTGTCACAGCACTTGCCAGATATATGTGGCAACATATGGTGGAGCACCACATGTCATTAAGGACTTTACGCTGCTGCAATTGTGGAATTACATAATTCTGCAACATTGTTTTATGATGAACACTTGTGATCGAGCACATTTTCATACTTGTGGAAGTAATCTCTTTAAAGAAGTATGGACCGGGAATGAATGTTGCTTGCAATGCCACGCCACACAATCACTTTAGCTTCATGTAAAGGCACTGGTGACACGCTGTGAAGATTTTCATTAGCCCAGTGAATGCAGCTCTTGGAGTGAAGAAACGTGCTTCATCCATCTATAATATCTGCAGTGGCGACACGTTATCTTCATCATATCTTATGAAGAAAAAATTTGCCAAGTTCAGATGCTGCTCATCTTCAAGTTGCAACATTTGGACATGCTGGAATCAATATGGAAACATCCACAGAACAAGGCACAAAAGTCTGAGGACTGATTTTTGGAACAACCAAACTTATAACACTTCTTGCAGTATGCAGTGGGCCTGCAGTAATCGTATTGTGCACTTCCAACAGGAACACATCACCATCCGGATCACAGTCTATGACATGTGCATCCAGTACCATCACATTTTTTATCACATGATATAGAGTTTTTACAGACATGGTCTTGTCTTAGCATATGATTTTGCTGACAAATTCGCATGGCTTCAGCAGCATTTTTCCTACTCAGATTGAACAGCTTTTTCAATTCACTACGTCATTTTCCTAAAAGTGTCATCTTGTTAGCACATCTGAACACCTCACTGAAGAAACAATCTTCCCACACTGATTATCAAACATTTTCCACAAGCAATGCTTTGCATATGGTTTTTTACAATTGGTGCTTTTACTGTCTAAAAGTTTAAAAATTCCTCTTCAATCCAATATGAAACTTTCCCAGTAGGCATTTAATAGTGCCAGCATGTTTTGAACTTTGCTGCATTTACTCCAGCACTTTGTACAATCTGTACTTTGCAAATTTATGCTAAATAAGGCCCAATACATTATTAATTTCGTTTGGTTTATTTAATTATTGCAAAATGCTTTTTAGGGCTATCTGCCTAAGGGGACAACTTTAAGGCAAACTGACTTCCTGTGATATATGCAAAGTACATCAATGCACCTCCTCTCTGTGTTGTCACTGTTCCTTACTGTGTTTCCTTTGCTCTTCTTTGAAAATGTTTTATGCCGGCATTTTCATCTTATATGTATTGTTCCAATGCCATTTACGGTTTTTCAATGTGCTGATCAATCAGGGAAAAAAGTGGGTGTTGCCATTCAAAAATTTAAAATATTTTCTTTATTACCATAACTCATTTTAAATCATAACAATCTCAAGCACATAACGTCAAATAACAATACCTGAAATTTAATTTCAAATTGTTCAGCAGATAGGCCACTAGGGATTCATATATTATGACTACTCTGTATATCTTCATACATACTTTTCAAAATGTAATTTTCTAATTCTATTCTAGTCATTATTTTTCACTCTAAAATTTGAATATGATTGTATCCATTTGAATTTTTATTTATATGTAGAAGTATAACTCTGGTCTTCATAAATATTTCGTGCGAGTAAATATTAAATTAGTTCATTTTGAAATTGATGATGATATTTCAAGTACATGTAATTTCTTTTGTGACATCAAAATTATGTTTTCAAGGAGACACTACATGCCCCATTTTTAAAATATCATTTTAGTGTGTACAGTTCTGAATATATTGTGATTACAGTATTTTGAGAAATATATATGTGATTTGTATATAAAAACATATGTAAGTATATTTTCAATTTTGTATATTTTTCCAACTCTCTTACTATCAATTAATGTATTTAAAAATAAATTTTTATCCTTGTATAATTTAATCTTCATTTCATTTCAGATTAAGTTATTCTGTTGGCACTTTTATAACTAAAAAAAAAAAAAAATGTTTTTAATTTTTACTTTTAAAATCGTTTCGCACTAACAAATTCACTCTTTGAAATTATGCAAAAGTTAAAGTATTTTTCAAATTTTCAAAGTAACTTAAAACAATCTTTATTCTTTCTAAATAAAATTATTATGTACTGCAAATGCATTATCTTCTGTAAATGAATAAAAGCTAAGCGAAAACATCTGCCAATAATATAAGCATAACAGAAAGTGTTATATCAATTATAATTTTAGAAAACTTCTGTAGAACTTAATGATCACCCAAAATTAAGAAAAGAATCATTTTTCTGTATTCACTACGATAATTCTTACAATTAAATATAAGAAGTTAATTATCAGTAAGCAGGCCATGAACTTTATTTTTATATTACCTGATAAACTTTTTAAAATAATACATTTTGCCTACCAAGAAACAAAAATACAAATAACTCATATTATGGAGGGGGGGGAATCCATGGGATCACCGATATTATCATTAAATGTCTGAATTAATTACTCTCATTAAGTACTTCAGTTCTTTAACACAAGGGCATAAATGCATTTACTCCAGCACTTTGTACAATCTGTACTTTACAAATTTATGCTAAATGAGGCCCAATACATTATTAATTTGGTTTGGTTTATTTAATTATTGCAAAAACGCTTTAGGGCTATCCGCCTAAGGCAAACTGACTTGTATTCACATTACACACAGAAGAAACCTAAAAATAAAAATCCTATACAATCAGCCCATTCACAGAGATCTGAACTACCAGTGTTCAGTGACTTTACCTCTTGGCCCAGTACATTGCTAAATGTAAGTTTATAATTTAATACATGAGTTAGAAATGGGATATAAATATTTTATCTAAAATTTGAACTGGTATGTAAATGCATGTGATACAGAAAATATGAAAAGTCTAACACAATAGATGGAAGAATATCTAAATAAAAACTTCATGAATGAGCCTCAAAGAGAAGTAAGGAACTCTGGAAGACACAAATAGATAAACAGAAATTTGTGCTTTAGCAAATTCCATAAATAAAAATGGACTATTTAATGCAATAAGATGGGATCATGTAATCAGTCGTCCATTACTGCATAGGCATAGTATGGTCTACATGCATAGACAATAATAATAAAACATAATTTTCTCCTGTTGTGATAAGATTTACAGATCCACAGTAAAAATTAATTTTTCCCATAATTTTTAACCAAGCAGAACTTTACAAATAACATTATTGCTACATTTTAATTAAATACTAGTATTTTAAATTTTTAGTGAATGGTATGCCCCAGCATAATACAATCCATAAAACATGAATACCAACTACCTTCCAAAATATAAATTTTTGCAGTAAAGAGATTTATAAAAACTTTTGAAATATTTATTGGCAGGAACAGTCAAAGTTTTAATTTGCTGAATAACTGTATATTGCTTTCCCTTCTCACAGCGTAAAAATTAAAAATTAGAAAATAATTTTTTTTTGAATTAGAATTGGTGCTGATATAATGTCATGCAGTGAATAGAAATAACATTATAAATGCTATTTATCTACTTTTCAAAAATAGTTCATAGTAAAAGCAACACTGATAATTAAGTGAAACTCTAAAAATAAAAATAAAAAAAGCAATAATCTTTATTCCATAGAAGAAGAAAATTTTGATAAATAAATAAAATACAGAATACACATTAGTAAGGGATTCTGGAAACTTCTAATTGATTTCCAACCTCTTACAATAAGACTTTTGTACCCATTAACAGAAAATTGAGCAGGTTTCTGACATAGTTAATTATATTGACTTGAATATGCAACTAATAGTTTTAAAATAATCATTACACTTGTTGTTAATTTTCTTTCAAACACATAACATATTTACTCAAGACGATTCCCTGAATAAGAATAAAATAAAGTGACTTATTGCTTATTTTACTGTTCTAAGTACAATTCCATTGATAATAACACTAGCGCAATTATACAAATTTCACAAGCATGATTATCAAGCATCCAACAAAGTCCAGTCATCAACTACCATTACTTGAATTTATCATACAAAGTAATGCACTTTCAAAGTCCTGCCTGTATTAATTAAACTAGCAATATTATGAAAAATATAGTTTAAGTGGAATATCACAGGAAACATCACCATTATGAACTGAAACACATTTCTTCATAACAAAATATTGCAATACAATTCTCTCAAATATTTTTTTAACCTTCTAATACTTTCAAAAATACCTTTCTACAAATAAAAGAATACTGGAATAAATAATATACAAAAAATTCAACACTTTTAAATAATATTAAAAAAACATGTAACATTTTAAAGACATTAAACATCCATAAAACACAAGCACCTTTACATTTAAAACATGAAATATAAAAACATCAGAACACAGAAAATATTTCCACATAACAAACGATTGTTTCATTTTTATTAGATTCGGATATTTCAGTTTCAAAAATGTAGGAATAGAATTTTTTTTTTTTTTTTTTTTTTTTTTTTCTATTTTATATTATATCTTGCACACAAAATAAATCACATATACAAACATAACATTTATAAAATTATTACGATTTGGACTATATGAAGTATTACATTATATACCATAAACATAATACTAATATTACTTACCGTTAGAAACGCTAAAGAAGGTATAATAATAGGATCTCTAGGATAAAATTTATAAGTCAGCTTTACACTTCAGAACACAATGGCATATAGACCAACATATACATACATAATTGCCTTAAAGTTTAAAACTAAACAAATTGTCAGCAACAAATGACAAACTTGCTATCAAAAATACAGCAGTAAATCAGTTTTCCATAGAGAAAAAAATTAAGGTCTTCTCTTTACTGACTCAGACGTAACACTCATATTAGTCATAAGTTTGCTTAATTTCAGGAAAAAATTATATAAGCTGGTATTATAACATTCAACTTGTAATCAGTTACATAAAAGATTAATTGTGGCAGTGATGTTTGTTACATTATTTATAATTTCTTATTCTTAATTATATGAATATCACAATAGCAAAAGAAAATATCATACTTTCTTTTGGGCAAAGTAAATCTACTATTATGTATTTCACATCATATATAGGTAAAATAGTTATATTATATCTTATCACATATATTTCATTTTTTGCCAGTTAATTTAGTAATAGAAATAAATGTTTAAAAGAGAATGCTTAAAGTAAGAAAAATAAGTTCAAGTTAAAATTCATAAATAAACTTCTAAATTCCTTTTTGTTTCCTTTTATCTAACAATATACAGAAAACGTTCAAAATTATTTAACTATGTTTAACTTAAATATTAATGAAAATAGAACAAGAAGTAATTTTACAACCTGGTATTGAGAAAAATACATTAAATAAATTGCAATTATTGTTTTATACTATATTCTTTCTCCAAAGATTACTGACACACACATTAAAAAATGTAAACTAAAAAATGATACTATAATTAAAATCTATTTATTCAATGTTATGAGAAAAGTTTTTTCATCAAGATTGAAAAATACAAGTGCGGTTGACCTTTATGCAGATTTAAACTGATATCCAAATTTTTTCCAACAAGTTTATTTAAAAGGATTTTTACTTTCCAAAGATGTTCAAAAAATAAATAAAGTAGGGTATATCACGATTCAAAAATTAATAGTACGGTTCCCAGCCATCTGGAAACTCATGGAAAGTCAAGAAAATTAAAGTTTGGGGGGGGGTGAGGGAAATCAGATTAAAAAAAAAAAATAGAGAGAATTTAGAAGAAAAATAAATAAATAAATCTTCTCAAATGATCACAAAAATTCAGATTTTAAATAGTACACAGTAAACCAAAAGTAATCCTCTAAAAAAGAACATAAGAGTTACTGCAATGTCCACTTTTCTAGCAGAAAATATTTTATTTACTTCATTTACAATACAATTTTATTAACTCATAGCTTTCTTTTCAATTGGCTAGTTAACTGCTTTTCCCTCTAAACTAGTTATTTTTCTATTACTCTCTCTTGGGAAGTATAATTACCCATCAAAAATAAATGATATAGATTAGATTTTTTTCCCAGCCCAGTGTAATTCTTTGCTCTTCAGTTTTATTTTGAGACAAAAGAAGTATATTTATTACAAACGGCGGCTTCTTATAAATTTCTTTTGTAAAACAAAATTTTTTATATATTTGTAATGTTATAGCAGCCTAGATGAGAAATGGGAATTAACACGATTCCGCTTTGGCGAGAAATGAAGAGTTGCCAATTTGTGTGTGCAAACATAGTTAATGCTTTTTCAGCTATTGAAAATTTTCTTGGTGTTTCATTGCCAAATATTTAATGGGATTCCTATATTTAATCTTCTTTCTTGTGAAGATCATGGAAATGAAGGAACAAAAAGCACAAGGGTCACTATCACCTGGAGTTAACCAAGTAGAATTAATGTTCAGGCATCACATCATCCAACTATTTAATGCATGATTGACGTATGAGTAATCAAAATTCATAAATTCCTAGCAATGGGAGCAGTAAATGTTCTAATATGCATTCTTAGCTTAGCAGGTAACTCTGAATTTTTTTAGACAAGAACAGACCCTAGACACTAAAAAATTATTAATTCATAAAAAAAATTTGTTAGCTATATAAATATGAACTTCTTTATATCTCAGACAATAATTTATGGCAACAATTGCAATTTACCTAATGCAGAATACATTTTTAACAAAAATAACTGATGACACAAGAGCATTATCATGCTACGATTTTCTATGATAAAGTGAATCTAAATCAAGAGGAATGATTTCAACATTTACAATTATCATATACATAGCAACATTTACAATCAACACTTCAACATTTACAATCAGCACCATCTTCATGCCACTGTATTCAGATTGTTTACAGAATTTCATAGAGGTTGAAAATCTCTCTGGATGAAGAAGATCTTTGTCAGCTGTAGCTCAAAAAATG